CAGGCAGGCAGGGGTGGGAGAGGCAGGGAGGAAGCAACTTACCCTCCCTCTTCTCCTGCCTCCTCCTGGCTGAATGAGGGCCGGAAGCGGGGCGGCCGGAAGCAGGGGGTGGGGCTTCATCATGTGCCCCGCCCCCTGCACCTCACCCGGGGGAACTGCGATCCCCCGCGTTCCCCCCCGAAATGACCCCGCACAGACACAAAATGACTTCTATTCTGTACTCCTCTGCATTGAACGAGCAGATGCTACAGCTATTCTTAAGTACAGCCAGATCCATTGTGTCAGATTAAACTCTCTTTTTAGAAAAAGGAAATTGATATGGCCAGTTTAATGTACCACAAGCAGAGAAGAATGATGGGGATGGGGGATGGGGGAAGAAGGCCTCATGCAGCAGTGATCCTGCTGTAGAATATGGGTATCACAAGCAAGGGCAGACCAGCTCTGCAAAAGCATCTGTCCCTCCAAAAGAGCTGTTTTCTCCCGGGGAACTGATCTCTGTTGCCTGGAGATCAATTGGAATTCTGGGAGATCTCCAGGCCCTTGTGTTGCCAACCTCCAGGTGACGGCTGCAGATCTCCTGGAATTAGAACTAACGTCCAGGCTATAGAGATCAGTTCCCCGGGAGAAAATGGCTGCTTTGGACGATGGACTCTAGGGCATTATACCCTACTGAGGTCCCTCCCTTACCCAAACCCCACCAGCCCCAGGGTCCACTCCCAAATTCTCCGGGGATTTCCCAACCCTGAGAGGGCAACCCTATAGAGGCTGGCAACACTACTCCCCAGGGGCCATTTTAGGTTAGGGGTGCCTTTTTTCCAGGGAAAAGGGCAAGGAAGGAAAGGGTGGAAGAGCTCTACCCCACACTGTTATCAGTCTTGAAACAAGCAGTCTGGGGTGTGTGTGGATCTTTTAGAAGGCACACAGAAGAGAATGCAATAGGCAGTTTGATCCTGCACCACCGCTTAAAACCATCTTCAAACTGTTCCAAATGTTTTATTTTAAAACACACACACGTACACACAAACACAACTTATTCAAGCCCAAATGTGGAGTCAGACAGGCCTCCTGAAGGAGGGAGCTCCAAAACACTCGTGCCACTACAGAGAGCCCCCCACCCACCCACTCACGCTCATGTCCACCAAGCTGCTTTCCAGAAAGGACAACACAAAGATTAGGGCCTTCCCCGAAGATCTGAGGAAGTGAGGGGGCTCTGCCATGACCACAGTGTGGCGAAATTATAAAGCGCTATTGCTATTATTCTCCATTAGCTCATCATTTTCAATTTTTTGCACATCCATCTGTTTTTCTCTCTGAGGTAAAGAGACAAACACACTGTCATCCTTTATTAAGTGACAAACATCCCATTTGTGAGGAAGGAGGTTTCTCTTAAACACAAAGGCTGCCAGATACGAGACGGAAATGATGGTCAAGAGACCGACGAGCATGGTGACGGTCTTAAAAGGGAACCGCTGAACGTAGACCCCATCGACAAGAGAACATCCTGGGTAACAGATAAGTGGGGGGATCTTCAGGGATGACTCCCCTGCCAACAGCCGCAGCAGAAATCCAAAGAAGAACCCGGCAGCTGAGCCGTACGTGTTGGTGTGAGGAATAAAGAGTGCGCAGCACAGCTGAGGAAAAAGGAGGGTGTACACAAGCTCACCTCCAAGGAACCAGAGGTCATAAATCGAATGGGAATAAAATGCCAGAGCTGCAGCCAGCGCCCCGAAGACAACCATGGAAGCTCTCATTACCCACAATACATCTTTCTCGGTTGCCTGAAATTCAAAAAAAGAGACAACTTTAGAAGTAACCTGGTCTTGGAGATAATTTCAGTGGCAACCTAACTCTTGCAACAAATTTTCACTGCTCCCTTTGTTGCTAGATAGGATTAATGAACACTTTGGGCCATCCAGATGTGGAGGAACCATCAAAATGTGTGTGTGTTTTACCACAGGAAGAAGATGTACAAAGCTAGATGTTAGCATTATGGAGACTCTGCATAAGTCTGAAAGGTGGGGCTGAGTGGGTGTTGCCAAGCAGCCCTGCAGGACCAGAGGCTTAAAATATCAATTCTACAACGCTGGGCTGTAGACCCTCAGTGTAAATTAGGAGGAGGAGAGGAGATTGGATTTATACCCTGCCCTTCACTCAAACCGATTTCACATAAGAGCTGCACTGCGGTCGTGCCTCCCTTTGCCCCGCTTCTATTGGTCAATTTCCCACTCGAAGTTGTGCAGCCACATTTTCACCCGCATTTTCACCCGCAGCTTTGCCCGATTTTCCCCACAGTTTCATGATCCTCAAAAAACAGGATCACAAAACCACGGGGGAAATCAGGCAAAGCCGCGGGTCAAAATGCGGCCGCGCGGCTTCGAGGGGGAAATTGACCAATAGAAGCAGGCACACGGGAGGCTGCGCAGCTCTTGTGTGAAATTGGTATCAGAGTCTCAGAGCGGCTTACAAACTCCTTTCCCTTCCCACAACAGACACCCTGTGAGATAGGCGGGGCTGAGAGAGCTCTTTCCAGAACTGTCCTTGCAACAACAACTCTGACAGAACTATGGCTTGCCTAAGGTCATCCAGCAGCTGCAAGTGGAGGAGAGGGGAATCAAACCCAGTTCTCCCAGATTAGAGTCTGTGCACTTAACCACTACCCTTAAATGGCTCTAGAACCAAGGCACATATTGTGATAGTAGGATACGCCTTTTAATTGGGGGGTTTCAGCTTTTAAATTGTCTGCTCTGTTTTATGGATTGTTTTTGTGTTGCTTATGTCTAATGGCCTGTGTTTTACACTGTGATTTTTAATTGTAAGCTGCCTTGACCAGGATGCTGAAGAGATGGTATAAAAATATTCTAAATAAATAAAATTAGAACAATGTTTCCCATTGCTGAGGCAGGCTTTTATTCTGAATTGAACTGGAAGCATGTCACTCTTGCATTGGAAAAGGTCTACTTTTAGAATGTACAAGGGGAGACCCGCAAGAAACTTGCAGGGAGGGGGCATTTCCCCCACCTTTGCTACCCTCCCCCCTTCTCTGTCAAAGTTCCCTCCTGTCTTTCTGCACCCACCCCTTACCTATCCATCTACCTTCACCTCCCCCTTCTCCTCTCACCCCTTTCATGTTAGCTTTCCTCCCTACCCCCTTCTTAGGAATCCTTTCCTACCCCCTTTGAGTTCCCTCCTGTCTTTCTGCACCCACCCCATACCTATCCATCTTCCTTCACTTCCCCCTTCTCCTCTCACGGGTCTCACCCAATTTATTCTCCTTTCACCCCTTTTATGTTAGCTTTCCTCCCTACCCCCTTTCTCCTCTCACCCCTTGTATGTCTCACCCCTCTTACTTACTTACACAATGTCCTCTTTCCACCATCCCTTCTCAGTCTGCCCTTCTTTCTCTCCCCTATTTCTCCCCCCCCCAAGCAATCTCTCCCTCTTCTGCCTCCCTTTCTGCAGCTTCCTCGTTTTTCTGGCAGTGGGGATGCCACTTGACTGGGAGTGATCCAGCAGTATCGTCCCCTGCCCCGCGACCCCTGGGCTGTCTTGCTGGCTGTGGGGAGGCCGGCTGCCTTGGAAAGACCCAGTGGTGTCAGTGTCCCCTGTCCGTTTGCTCCAGGGCTGTCTTGCTGGCCATGGGGAGGCCGCTTGCCTCGGAAGGACCTGGCAGTGGGCCCCGCCCCACGTCTTTAGTCCCATCTTGCTGGCTGTGGGGAGGCCAGCCACCAAGCAAAGCTCCAAGTCTAGCATGGAGGACCACGAGTCTGGACTATGCAAGCACAGACAACTCTTTTTTTATTTTTGAGGGTTTTAAACCCCCTGTGTATTTTTAAAAGCTTTTTGCATTTTTCTGCAACCCTAGGGGTACCCCAAGTGTGCAGAAAAACCTCTTTACCCTCCATGTACCCTAGATCTGTGGAAATAAGTATCTGCACACAGAGGGATCCTTGGCTATTAGATATATAGATACAAACTGTCCACCCATGACTCCTTGTGTTTGCAGCATTTTGGCAAATTGCTGCTTTGGCTCCTATCTCATTCAAAACAGAGGGACTCAACCAGATCAGTGACTCATACAGAGAGCCAGTGGGATATTCTCCATTGTTAGTAATTTTATTACCCAGTTGCCTCTGATCCCACAAGCTGCTGCTCCGCGCTCGCTCTTCCCTTTGCCCCGATTGTACGGTAGAATTACTCACCCACAGAAAAGATTCTACTTTAATTTATTAATTTCTTAGAGCACAATTTTCTCATAGCCCTCAGTTTGGGAAGTTCTGCCACAGATGAAGAACATTTTCATCTATGGTGTTCTCCCATATGAATCAATCTTGATTAATCTATTCCCACCTTTTTTGTGGCCTGGGGGGAACAGACAGGAATCCCTTCTGAATTATCTTGGCGTCACATCACACCCACATCCACATAATGTCTACATGGTTCGGTGTCTGCATTTCACCAACTTACTTTTTTCCTCAGGATTTTCCTATAAATGTTGTGAGCAAACATGGAGCTTGCAGAGAGCAAGGCGGAATCCCCAGAAGACATCACGGCAGCTGCGATGGCCCCCAAACCACCAATGGAGACATATGTCGGGCAAAGATATCGGAGAACTAAAGGAAGTATGAGAGCTGACTCTCCTCTGTCGTTGGGTGTGGGAAGGCCATAGCGAGTCTGATTCCAGTCTCGTAAAACAGAAAGCAGGAGCAATATGTTAGAACAGATTAGAGGTGGCCTCAGGCCGTAGCCAGGATTTTTTTTAATTCTGGGGGGCAGGGCTATTTTTGGGCAGGAACGCACAGGAACGGAGTTCCGGCTGGCTCCTGAGTTGGCCACGCCCAGCAGGAACTCATTAGCATAATAGGCCACACCCAACAGCAGAAACTCATTAGGATTGGCTACATTAGGGGTGTGTGGCCTAACATGCAAATAAGTTCCTGCTACAAAAAAAGCCCAGGGTTTTGACAACAAAGTAAACAAAATAAGAAGCAAAAAGTGGGTGTGACTGGATGACCACACTTCTGGTAACATGGGGGTATGTGGCCTAATATGCCAATGAGCTGTGCTATCAGGGGTGTGGCCTAATATGCTAATGAGTTTCTGCTGTTGGGTGTGGCCTATTATGCTAATGAGTTCCTGCTGGGCTTTTTCTACAAGAAGAAGAAGAAGAGATTGGATTTATACCCCGCCCTTCACTTGGAGTCTCAGAGCAGCTTACAAACTCCTTTCCCTTCCCCTCCCCACAACAGACACCCTGTGAGATGGGTGGGGCTGAGAGAGCTCTGACAGAGACTGCTCTTTTTCAAGGACAGCTGTGCCAGAGCTTGTGACTGACCCAAGGTCACATCAGCAGGTGCAAGTGGAGGAGCGGGGAATCAAACCCTGTTCTCCCAGATTAGAGTCCACGCACTTAACCACTACACCAAAAAGCCCTGCTGGGGGACCTTTACATACGTTGGGCGGCACCTTGCATACACACCCCAAGGGAGTGCCACAAATAAAATAAAAAATTGGAAGGGGGGGCTGGGCTGGATGGGAAGTCAGGGGACCTTGGCAGTAAGTCAGGGGGCCAGGCCCCGAGGTGCCCCACTGTAGCTACGGGCCTGGGTGGCCTATGTGGGGACAACATTTGCACCCCTTAAAATTCATTGGGCTGGCTATGATACTGCTTATCAAGACTAATTTTTTCAACAGACCCATCGTGTAATAATTAGGGTGTTGGACTACGATCTGGAAGACTCGGGTTCAAATTTCCCCACAATCACAAAAGCCTACTGAGTAGTCTTGACACAGTTGCCTTCCCTCAGCCTAATTTCACAGAGATAGATCAAGATGGGTAGCTGTGTTAGGCTGCAGTTACACACACTAAATAATCCACTTGCAATCCACTTGCAATGCACTTTCCAACTGGATTTTGCCAGTTCACACCAGTGTTCCCTCTAAGCTGAGTTAGTGTGAGCTAGCTCACATTTTTTTAGCCTCCAGCTCACACGTTTTTGTCTTAGCTCAGGGAGGATGGCTCCAGAGCAAACTTAATTGATGCAGTAGCCAAATCACCTGCTCACAACTTTCAGGCCAGTAGCTCACAAAGTAGAATTTTTGCTCACAAGACTCCGCATCTTAGAGGGAGCCTTGGTTCACACAGTAAAAATCCAGTTGGAAAGTGCACTGAAAGTAGAAGAAAAGTAGAAAAGAGTAGAAAAGAGCAAGAGTCTAGTAGTACCTTAAAGACTAACACATTTGTGGCAGGGCAGGAGCTTTCATGAGTCACTGTTTAGTTTTTCAGATACAGTTCTGTTCTTTTTACTTCTTCAGACCGTGACTCACGAAAGCTCCTACCCTGCCACATATTTTGTTAGTCTTTAAGCTGCTACTGGACTCCTGCTTTTTTATTTATTTCACAGGTTGCTGTTGTGAGGATAAAACAGAGGAGGGAAGAATGATGCCTCGAGCTCCTTGAAGAAGGGCAGGATAAAAATGTAATAAACAAATTTCCCTCAGTATTATTTTAGGTTCAGAACAGACAGAGAGGCTGGGCAAACCATAACTGAGACTACTAGCTTCAAGTCCGGTGGCACGCAGGCGTGTCGAACTCACTGGAAATGTGTTATTTAAAGTTTAAAAACATCTTTCATTGTGTTTGTCTGTGTCCTTTATAAAGTTTATATCCCCGTTACCTGGCATTACCTTTTATGACACACATGGCCTGGCCCAAGAAGGTCTCATTTATGTCAGATCTGGCCCTCATAACAAATGAGCTCAACACCCCTGCTAGAGGCCAAAAAGATTTTGGGCACATAAGCTTTCAAGCGACACAGCGTTCCCTTCACCTTCATCACCTTCATCAGGTATCTGCTGAAGGGAACTGTGACAGCCAGGGCTCTTTTTGTAGAAAAAGCCCAGCAGGAACTCATTAGCATAATAGGCCACACCCAAATGCAGGAACTCATTAGGCCACACCCTGACAGCACCACTCATTAGCACATTAGGCTGCACCCCCATGTGTGGTCATCGAGCCACACCCACCTTTCCCTTCTTATTCTGTTTACCTTGTTTGTTGTCAAAACCCAGGGGGGGGTTTGTAGCAGGAACTCCTTTGCATGCTAGGCCACACACCCCTAATGTAGCCAATCCTAATGAGTTTCTGCTGTTGGGTGTGGCCTATTATGCTAATGAGTTCCTGCTGGGCGTGGCCAACTTGGGAGCCAGCCGGAACTCCGTTCCTGTGCGTTCCTGCCCAAAAATGGCCCTGGTGACAGCTCATATCTCCCAAAATCTTGTTGGTCTCTAAGGGGCTCCTGGACATGAATCGAGCTCTTCTGCTGCAGGCCAACATGGCTACTCTGCTGAAACTAAATAACTGGAAATAGTATCTTCTAAAGCTCACTTACCACTGTCCAGTCCCCTAATTGGATTTGGGTCAAATGAGGACTGGAGGGGAAGTCTAATTCATTCATTCCTATACAGGGGTCATTTCCTGCAGGAGCGCACAGGAGCGGAGCTCCGGCAGTAAAGAGCCCAGGGGGCGGGCACATGCAACAAGCCCCGCCCCCTGCTCCCAGCAGCCCTCAGTCAGAGCAAGAAGCAG